CTTCTGACAAAAATGAGATCCCATAAGTTCATAGCATTGTCGTGTGAGGTTAATGTTACTAAACTCTGAATTGATGTTGCAGGGTTCTTTGTATAAACCCCAATGTGATGAGGAATTGAAGCCAAAAGTGGGGATGCTATTTGATGACATTGGCTCAGTAATGGAATTTTACAAGACATATGCACACCATGTCGGATTTGGTGTACGTCTTGGGCAGCAAAAGATCGTAGATAATGTGCTTCTGTGGAAGCGCTTCTTGTGTGCAAAAGAAGGCTTTCGGCCCGAGAAAGGTATGGTTGTTGTTGATCATTCCAAGAAAAGGCGAAAGGTGAAATTGACTAGATGTGGATGTCAAGCTTTTATCTATGTCACTCGGGAAAGTGATGGAAAATATAAGATAGCTTCACTCAGTGAATATCACAATCACCCTTTTGTGCCACCTAGCCATCAACACTTGATTAGATCTAATCGTCAAATTAGCGAGAGGGTGAAGACAACACTCCATGATTGCCAGAAAGCTAGCATCGGGACCGCCTTAGCATATAGGTTTCTTCATGTTGGCGCAGGGGGTTTTCAGCATGTTGGCTGCACCCAGAAGGACCTACAGAATCACTATGGTGGATTGAAAAATAAAATTAAAAATTACGACGCTCAAATGCTAGTGGACCAATTTGGTAGATTGAAGGCTCTCAATCCTACTTTTTTCTTTGACTATGAAGTTGACGAGGTTGGTACATTAGTTCGTTTGTTCTGGACGGATGCGACAAGTAGGAAAAACTATGGTCACTTCAATGATGTGGTATCTTTTGATTCAACATACAACACTAACCAATATGAATACACGTTTGCGCCCTTCACTGGAGTAAACCATCATATGCAAAATGTCTTTTTTGGGGCTGGGTTTCTACTTCATGAGACAGCAGACTCCTATATTTGGTTGTTCAGGGCGTTTCTTACAGCAATGAGTGGGATTGCGCCTAGACTAATCACAACAGACGAATGTAGTAAGATGAGGAACGCAATTAAAGAAACTCTGCCGAACACCGCGCATCGATTGTGTATGTGGCACATTATGGAGAAAGTTCCTGGGAAGGTACGTCCTGAGTTGAAAAATGACCTTGTATTCTATGATAGGCTAAAACATTGTGTGTGGAATTCTGAAACCCCTGCTGAATTTGAGGATAGATGGAAGTCTTTCATCATAGATTTTAAGTTGGAGGACCATGAGTGGTTCGCGAAAAGGTATGAACTTTGTGCAACATGGATACTAGCTTACTTTATGGAAATTCCCCTAGCTGGTCTTCTCAAGACAACTTCAATTTCAGAGAGCGCAAACTCATTTTTTAAGCGTTTCATCTGTCGCAAGCTTAACTCCGCCTATGTTGTCTCAACATAGCCGGTCCCAAGCCCGGGTAAAGGAGGAGGGTTGTGATAGGCTTGGCGAGCCAACGTAAAAACTCAGCCACTCTTATGGAGATGAAACCCAAAAGATTTTCGTTGGGGCGTAACCCTCTCAGCGACGCGCCACATCGGAACCCGGGTGTGGTGGAAAATGGGCAAGGGCCGGGCCGTCACCCCCCAAGTGGCACGCCGTATCTTGATCCGGATACGGTGCCAAGTGAGCGAGGATCGGGTCATCGCATCCTTAGTGGCGCGCTACATCGGTGCCCGGATGTAGTGGAAAATGAGCAAGGGTCTTCGCATTTGACTCGACGAGTGCGAAGGGTAAGGAAGCTAGCCGAGCCTAGGAGGATTCGCTTAGGTAGCTGGAACGTAGGGTCTCTGACAGGGAAGCTTCGGGAGCTAGTTGATGCAGCAGTGAGGAGAGGTGTTGATATCCTTTGCGTCCAAGAAACCAAATGGAGAGGACAGAAGGCGAAGGAGGTGGAGGATACCGGCTTCAAGCTGTGGTACACGGGGACGCCTGCAAACAGAAATGGCGTAGGCATCTTGATCAACAAGAGCCTCAAGTATGGAGTGGTAGACGTCAGGAGACGTGGGGACCGGATTATCCTGGTCAAGCTGGTAGCTGAGGACTTGGTTCTCAATGTTATCAGCGCATATGCCCCGCAAGTAGGCCACAATGAGAACACCAAGAGGGAGTTCTGGGAAGGCTTGGAAGACATGGTTAGGAGTGTACCGATTGGTGAGAAGCTCTTCATAGGAGGAGACCTCAATGGCCACGTGGGTACATCTAACACAGGTTTTGAAGGGGCGCATGGGGGCTTTGGCTATGGCATCAGGAATCAAGAAGGAGAAGATGTCTTAAGCTTTGCTCTAGCCTACAACATGATTGTAGCTAACACCCTCTTTAGAAAGAGAGAATCACATCTGGTGACTTTTAGTAGTGGCCAACACTCTAGCCAGATTGATTTCATCCTCTCGAGAAGAGAAGATAGGCGTGCGTGCCTAGACTGTAAGGTGATACCTGGGGAGAGTGTTGTACCCAGCATAAGCTGGTGGTTGCTGACTTCCGCTTTCGGATTCGTGTCCAGCGGGATAAGCGTGCCAAGGTCGCTAGAACGAAGTGGTGGAAGCTCAAGGGGGAGGTAGCTCAGGTGTTCAAGGAGAGGGTATTTAAGGAGGGCCCTTGGGAGGAAGGAGGGGATGCGGACAATGTGTGGATGAAGATGGCGACTTGCATTCGTAAGGTGGCCTCGGAGGAGTTTGGAGTGTCCAGGGGAAGGAGAAGCGAAGATAAGGATACCTGGTGGTGGAATGATGATGTCCAGAAGGCGCTTAAAGAGAAGAAAGATTGCTTCAGACGCCTATACCTGGATAGGAGTGCAGACAACATAGAGAAGTACAAGATGGCGAAGAAGGCCGCAAAGCAAGCTGTTGGTGAAGCAAGGGGTCGGGCATATGAGGACCTCTACCAACGGTTAGGCACGAAGGAAGGTGAAAGGGACATCTATAAGATGGCTAAGATCCGGGAGAGGAAGATGAGGGATATTGGCCAAGTCAAATGCATCAAGGACGGAGCAGGCCAACTCTTGGTGAAGGACGAAGAGATTAAGCATAGATGGCGGGAGTACTTCGACAAGCTGTTCAATGGGGAGAATGAGAGTTCTACCATTGAACTGAATGACTCCTTTGATGAGACCAGCATGCGTTTTGTGCGGTGCATCCAGGAGTCTGAGGTGAAGGAGGCTTTAAAAAGGATGAAAGGAGGCAAGGCGATGGGCCCTGATTGTATCCCCATTGAGGTGTGGAAAGGTCTCGGGGACATAGCGATAGTATGGCTAACCAAGCTTTTCAACCTCATTTTTCGGGCAAACAAGATGCCAGAAGAATGGAGACGGAGTATATTAGTACCAATCTTCAAGAACAAGGGGGATGTTCAGAGTTGTACTAATTACCGTGGAATTAAGCTGATGAGCCGTACAATGAAGCTATGGGAGAGAGTCATTGAGCACCGCTTAAGAAGAATGACAAGCGTGACCAAAAATCAGTTTGGTTTCATGCCTGGGAGGTCAACCATGGAAGCCATTTTCTTGGTACGACAACTTATGGAGAGATATAGGGAGCATAAGAAGGACTTGCATATGGTGTTCATTGACTTGGAGAAGGCCTATGATAAGATACCACGGAATGTCATGTGGTGGGCCTTGGAGAAACACAAAGTCCCAGCAAAGTACATTACCCTCATCAAGGACATGTACAATAATGTTGTGACAAGTGTTCGAACAAGTGATGTCGACACCGATGACTTCCCGATTAAGATAGGACTGCATCAGGGGTCAGCTTTGAGCCCTTATCTTTTTGCATTGGTGATGGATGAGGTCACAAGGGGTATACAAGGAGATATCCCATGGTGTATGCTCTTTGCGGATGATGTGGTGCTAGTTGACGATAGTCGGACGGGGGTAAATAGGAAGTTAGAGTTATGGAGACAAACCTTGGAATCGAAAGGGTTTAGGCTTAGTAGAACTAAAACCGAGTACATGATGTGCGGTTTCAGTACTACTAGCTGTGAGGAGGAGGAGGTTAGCCTTGATGGCCAGGTGGTACCTCGGAAGGACACCTTTCGGTATTTGGGGTCAATGTTGTAGGAGGATGGGGGTATTGATGAAGATGTGAACCATCGAATCAAAGCCGGATGGATGAAGTGGCGCCAAGCTTCTGGCATTCTCTGTGACAAGAGAGTGCCACAAAAGCTAAAAGGCAAGTTCTACAGGACGGCGGTTTGACCCGCAATGTTGTATGGCGCAGAGTGTTGGCCGACTAAAAGGCGACATGTTCAACAGTTAGGTGTGGCGGAGATGCGTATGTTGAGATGGATGTGTGGCCACACGAGGAAGGATCGAGTCCGGAATGATGATATACGAGATAGAGTTGGGGTAGCACCAATTGAGGAGAAGCTTGTCCAACATCGTTTGAGATGGTTTGGGCATATTCAGCGCAGGCCTCCAGAAGCTCCAGTGCATAGCGGACGGCTAAAGCGTGCGGAGAATGTCAAGAGAGGGCGGGGTCGACCGATTTTGACTTGGGAGGAGTCCGTTAAGAGAGACCTGAAGGATTGGAGTATCGACAAAGAGCTAGCTATGGACAGGGGTGCGTGGAAGCTTGCTATCCATGTGCCAGAGCCATGAGTTGGTTGTGAGATCTTATGGGTTTCACCTCTAGCCTACCCCAACTTGTTTTGGGACTAAAGGCTTTGTTGTTGTTGTTGTTTGTTGTTGTTGTTCATCTGTCGCAAGCTTACCTTCGTTGAGTTTTGGCTAAGGTTTGACACTGCTTTGAAGTGTCAGAGGCAGAATGAGTTAATTGCTGATAACACAAGTGAATACACAACAAGTGAGTTGGTGACACCATGGGAAATAGAGAGACAAGGCAGGGCGGTATTCACCCACGAGATTTTTGAATTATTTCAGGCCCAGGTGCTTGCTGCCAGAGATGATTGTGATGTTCAGGACACGAAAAATCATGAGGAGATTAAAATCATGTTTGTGAGTGATCAATACAAAAAGATTAGATAAGTGTCTTATGACACAGTATCCATGACTGCTAAATGTTCTTGCAAGCTTTTTGAGTCCAATGGAATCGTGTGCCGCCATATTATCCGAGTGTTGAGGGGTGCGAAAATAAATGAATTGCCAAGAATTTATGTTCTTAAGCGGTGGGAGAGAAATTGCAAAAGGTATATTTCTCTTCAAATAGATATTGAAGCATTTATACTTATCTGCTTTGACACACATCATATGTAATATTTTTCATATTGCTAGGGACATTATCTTCGATGGGGAAGGGAACATGCTTGAAGAGAATTTAATTGACCCGGTTGACATGGCTATGAAAAGGAAGATAGCTCTCATTAGGAACAAGCTAGAAGATCTCATTCAGAAGTCTAAAGGTTCAATGGAAGGAATTGAATTCCTGCACACTAGTTTGTGCAATGCTGAGATGGCTTTAGCCCATCTCGTACCAGCTGTAGCATGCAACACACGCGAAAATGAGGAGTCATTTATCGGGAGCATCATTCCAAAGCACGTTACCATCCACACACCTGCTGATATCAATGCAAGGGGCACTTGCTCTAGAATAAAGGGACACAGGGATGCTGTGAGGAGTGGGTCGAGTGAGAAAAAAAGAAGGCCCGGAATCCATCAAAAAGTCGCACGCAAATGTAGCATTTGTAAGGAAGTGGCGTTCCATGATGCAAGGACATGCTCTAAGAAACAAATGACACAACAATAGAGGTTTGTAATTCTTGCTTTTGAAGACTATCTGTTCTTTTTGTCTTGCTATTACTACACAAATAGAATAGATTGTTACATTTACAAAGCATGTAAGAAAAATCATCACCGATGTTGAAGTGCCGATGTCGCAACATCTATCTCTCTCGTGTTCAAGCGATCGTCTAGAAGTCAGGGACAAGTGGCTCAAAATGGATCAGTTCCATAGATTCCTTTAGTTGCTGAAATTCGTCACTTGCCTCCATCAACAGAGGTAGATGAAAGTTATGTGAGAGCATATCATCATGTGAAACAAATTGCGCAACTGAAGAATCTTCATCTTTTCAAAAGAAAAATAACCATTTTGTGGTTCACTGGTTATAGGTAATATTGTTCTTCTCGAACTTATGACTGCTCCTGAGTGATTAAACTGTCCAGTGGCTTTCTCTGTCCAGCATAGTCGCATTTAGGTTGTGTTTTGCAATGAAGTTGTCTCTAATTTTCCTTCCATGTGGTTTGTGCAGCAAACAATGAAATGGTATTGTTGATGCATATTCATTTCATTAGATAACGATGATTAAAAAATAAGTAGAAACGCATGACACTTGTATGGACCTGTACTAACTGAATCTCGTTTGCTAGGTCTGACTTCTCCCAGCACAAGATTGATAAGCAAGAGGCACTAGTACTGGAGGCAAAAGGCAGTAGCTTTTCTGTTGTGTACCAAACAGAGCAAACTTGATGCAAATTCTGACGGCAAGCTTGTTCAGCAGACAGCGGTGCTTACTTTAGTCCTGCATACTTTGTGTTGTCTGTGATGTACCAAAAATGATCCTCTCATGTTATGTAACACTTTATATGTATTTGTGTCGTCTCTATTCTGTTCTGTTCTATCTGGGATCGTGCAATTTAAAATGTATGTGTAGTTATGGATTAATTTTCTCATGTCTCAGAAATTTGTGATGTTCTCATACATTTTAGTGACGAACATGTTTGGAGTTCTTGCATGATTCTGAAAGTAGCAGAAACTACTAGTGAAATCAAATATATATCAAATTTCGTACAGTACATATGCATTTTTTTCTGGACCGGTACAGATTTGAGAAATTGTCTTATTTATGAGGGACAGAATGTTTGACATATCAGAAATTTTGGGTGGTTATTGCAAAAGTTACCTTCCATATGTAAATACTAGTAGGGGGTTTTGAAGAAATGTACACTTACAACCCTCCCACTCAATCTGTACCAATCATCTTCGATCCGATGGCCATGGTTCGTTTTTCTATTCTTTCACCGTACACCCTTTTTCTATTGTAGTCGCTCCCGTTTGGAACGCCGCGTGCAAGAGGCCGAGATCGACACAGGTTCTGTACGCGTACAAGTCGCCGAGACCGATTAGTTATTTCTGCCGATTCAACTCGTACAACAGGGTAAGGATAACTGCTTGACCTAGCACACGTGAGATCTTCAGACCAATCTAGTGCATGTATCTGAATCAAATGCTCACGGTGCCTCAACGACGAAAAAGTCAAAACCTGATGGATTCCAATGCCTCCTTCACGTGAAAAGCCCTCAACTAAACACTTCTTGCTAGAAAAGATCCAAGGAAATACAGCTGGTGTACACACATGGAGAAAAGACAACCATCGTACCTGCGGACTGCCTCGCCTGTGAGGCGCCCCGCAAGAACCTCGCATTGAATCGCCGCTCCGAGTCGCTGGCCCTACACCTTGCCCTTGAGTGGCCACTGCCACATCTGCTCTGAGCCTGCGAGTCACCCCGGCCGTCGAGTGGTCTCCGCTACGGTCGAGGTGTCCGCGCGTGGCCACGGCTGAAGCTTTTGCCTCGGTTTGGTGCACGTCCATTAAACCGCTCTCATCATTGTCGTTCGGATAAATCAGGTGATATTCATCCGAGTCTATTTTTAACACATATTGTTTTTTTGTCAAAAAACAATCTATCTTTGCTGCAATATTTTTATGCAGGATAATTATTTATGACAAATGTATTGTTATACCGCAGACATGGAGCGCGTGCCAGCATAGTTTTGCAGTGGCATTCTTCCAGGCCATGCTGCTCGACGGATACACATGCAAATCGCCGCCCCCGCTGTTCGGTTTACATCCGTCCATATATGCGGCCGACTCATTGTCCGCGCCGGTTTACAAACATCACGGCCGACTCATCCATCCGCACCAGTTTACCACACTGCGACCGGTTCACCCGTAATTAATTTCAACTTCATACAGTTATCATCAACATCATGGCGGGTTATTTCCGGCATAAACACATCAGGTGATACCCATATGAAATATATTTTATTAGCACATATTATTTTTATCAAAGAGCAGTTTATCTTTGCCTTGGTCTGCAATACTGTTTATGCAGGACAATTGTTCATTACAAATGAGGCGCTATGTTACGGGCACGGAGCACGCGCTAGCAACGTTCTGCACTGGCGTTTCATCCGTGTCCTACCACTCGATGAAAGAACGTGAGAAGGTCGCCGTCCCTGTGGCCCGGTTTGCATCAGCTTGCTGGAACCGCGCCCGTGATTAACTCGCCCGTCCGAGCCGGTTTACGACACCGGTGCCGATCTTCCCCGTCCGCACCAGCTTACAATGCCGCGGCCGACTCATCTGTCTGAGCTACCTCTGATGTTGCGGTCGTCCTTGTCGTCCGTCTCTCGCGACCTGGTCTACATCAACATACCGGGCCGCACCTGTCTGCATGAGCTGTTTATTGAGTATGAGCAAGTCACAGCTTGGGTAGCCTGATTTTTCTTTCAACAAAATGGAGGCAAATTATCATATACTATCAACCGCCGTCTGCACTGGGTGGTTCAATGGGCAGGCACACAAATCGCCGCCACTACAGTTTGGTTAGCTTCAAATCGCCAGTTGGAAGGAACCATTGGCCGAGTTGCTGACACGGCTCATACGGGATCATTTACAACCCGCCGCAGTCACCTCAACCTTCTGTGGATTCACATCGTGCTATCAACACCAATGATATACAAGTTATGCCGGTTTATATCACGGTCAAATATGGAGAATCTCAAGTCAACTCCTCGAGTCACCTTGAGACTTGGGGGCTACAATTATATGACTTAACAAACATTGCCGGTTTTCAGTGAAGTCAAGAACCCCAATACGTTGGAGGGAAAGATAACCCGGTCCCGGATTCACATCATGCTGTCAGAAGATTTCCGGATTAGAAAGTATATGAGAGTTACAAAATCCCGGCTCAATGAAGAAGTTTCGGGTCATCAGAAAAGGATTCCGGTTTAAAATCCGGTACAAGGGAAATTTGTTCTCCAACAAAGCTCTGAAGCTCTCAAATCCGGTTTAAGAATTTCCGGTTCAAAAAGGAATTAACTTCTCGCAAGTTCGAGTTTAAAGGCCGTCAGAAAATTTCCGGCTAAAAATGAAGATTCTGGTTTAAAATCCGGTTCAAGGGAAAGATGTCTCCCACAAAGCTTTGAAGCTCTCAATATTCGGTTCAAGATCCCGGTTCAAAGAAGAATTTATCTCTTGCAAAAAGTTAAAAATTGCCGAAGAGGACCTGCTGCCACGATGCGCGGTTCAAACATGGATATCCCGCCTTACTGGCCTGACATATTATTGATCACATGGGGGCGTTTGCTTCATAAAGCGGAGTCTCTGTTCTTTTACATCATGCGTGGTTACATGGAGTTGTTCTATCTTAAAGCGGCCTCCGGTTTATCCCTTGAAATTTTTATAAACATCACTTGGGGGCTTGGTCGTGTCCGAACCGATGCAATACCTCTTGATGGGCGAGAGCCACCAGATCACTTGGGGACTTGGTCACGTCTGAACCAGTCATGCCTCTTGATCGGCCTAAGGCCACAGAATCACTTGGGGGCTTGGTCGAACCCGAACCATTGCCATGCCACTTGATTGGCATAAATGCCACGGTTTCATTTGGGGACCTGGCTGACTTGAACCATAGCTACACCTATCGAGAGCTTGGTCGTGTCCGACCATGGTAACGCCATCTGATCAGCTCAAATAAGCCTCTTTTTGCAAACGGTTTTGTCATTGCCTTTGCTTCACATTTTTCTTTGAAAGATATTTCTTTCTTTTTATTGCGTTTTTTTTAAACCGACAAAGTTTTAAGCCGGTTCAAACTGTCAGTTGACGGAACACGGTCCATTTTAATCCGGAGGCTATCTGCCCGGTTTGATTTTCTGTTACCATCCTATTATGGAGTAAACCGGTGTTTGTCAACCCGGCTCGGCTTTCAACTACAAGTTGTTAGTACACGATCAAGTTATAATCCGGAGACTATCAGCCCGGTCTGGTTTGACTACGAGTCGCCAGTATTATATGTGGTTAAACTGGCGTTTATTACAACCCGGCATGGTTTTATCATAAACCGGCACAATATGGAAGGAGTTATCAGTACTCAAGATTTGGGTTATCACCCTTACTACAAAAAGTTGGTAAAACCAACAATGTGATTCAATGTCACAGGTATGATATATTTCATATTTGATTATTCTTAAGTGCAGCCTTGGTTATAAACCTGGGTTATATGTTGGGCATTATGACCCGTCCAGCGGTAAACCGCCGGGACACTTTAAACTTGTTGTATGCAGAAACAGGTTTGTTAAACCGGCCTGGCTTTGGACTATAAGTCGCCAGTATATATATATTTGGATTGCGCCATTGGAATCATGCGCTTATAAATCATTGGATTATATTATTCAAATAGCCAAAACTTGGCTGAATTTTCATTATGATATTGAATGAATAAAGTTTTCACCAGATTATATTATCTTGAATAGCCAACATGGTTGGATTTTTATGGTTATTAATAACCGGTATTATTGAGTTTTCAAAGTCGCTTTAACGCAATGGCTATTATTTTATCAAAGGATATGATTTATTTTACAATGGAAGAAATAATCCCGAGTTGCTGCAGGCTTACAACCCGACACTTGGGGGCTACATTATTCAAATCAAGATTACATGCAAGTCTCATGTCGCTATAAGCATG